AGTTGACGCTCAGGGCTTTCTCTTCATTTCTTCACCTTTGTCTCTGGTGTGTGTGGCTTTGCCAAGAGAGGCAACTCCCTTTTCTGCTTCTGCCTCTCCTTATCCTTCTGTCTGCCTGAGTGTCTTCTTGCCTTTTTCCATCTCCTAAAATCGATTTCTGCCTCTTCCTGCCAGTTGCTGCCTTGGGACCTGGGGGATTGGAGCTCAGGTTTCTCTCCCTTCCCTGCCCAGGCCTCGAGGAGCTCGTTCTCTCGGAAATGAACTCACCAAGCCGAACCCAGACTGGCGACAGCAGCAGCATCTCCTCCTTCAGTTACCGAGAGATCTTGCGTGAGAAGGAGAGCGCGACCATTCCAGCCCGGGTAAGGGGCAAGGAAGAGCCTACAGCTCCAGCTGCTCCTACTCAAATTCTGGAGTCCTCTTCCCCCACCCACTGCAACCACCTCTTACTCTGGGCCCAGCACATACGTCTCCTTGTCAGCCTTTCCCCAAGCTCACCAACTTTTTGATTCAGATTGCTAAGTAGGGGACAGGCAGATTATTACATATGTTTTTAAAATACATTTTATTGATTTTTTTACAGAGAGGAAGGGAGAGGGAGAGAGAGTTAGAAACATCGATGAGAGAGAAATAGATGAGAAACATCGATCAGCTGCCTCCTGCACACTCCCTTCTGGGGATGTGCCTGCAACTAAGGTACATGCCCTTGACTGGAATCGAACCTGGGACCCTTCAATCTGCAGGCTGACGCTCTATCCACTGAGCCAAACTGGTCAGGGCCAGGTTATTATCTTTAAGGCCCTGTTTCATCATCTGTGAGTTAATGCTGCCTTTCCTGGTGCCATAACATAAGTGGTTCATAGTAGGTGCGTCATCCAGGTTGCAAGTCCCTTTTTCCTATTCATAATTCTCACTTATTGTTGTCTATTATGTCAGCTTCCCTGCCAGCTGCTTTTATTTGGAAATAATTTTTTTTTATTTCATATGTGTGCATCATAGAAAAGAATTTAAAACACACAAGCAATTTTTTTATCTTTATTAAATATATTTTTAGCCCTAACTGGTTTGGCTCAGGGGATAGAGCATTGGCCTGCAGCCTGAAGGGTCCAAGGTTCAAGTCCAGTCAAGGGCATGTACCTTGCTTGCAGGCACATCCCCAGTGGGGGGTATGTAAGAGGCAGCTGACCGATGTCTCTTTCATATCGATGTTTCTAACTCTCTGACCTTCTCCCTTCCTCTCCGTAAAAAATTAATAAAATATATTTTTTATTGATTTCAGAGAGGAAGGAAAAAGGACAAAGAGAAACATCAATGATGAGAGAGAAGCATTGATTGGCTACCTCCTGCATGCCCCCTACTGGGGAATTTGCCTGCAACCCAGACATGTGCCCTGATGGGGATTCGAACCGTGACCTCCTAGTTCATAGCTCGATGCTCAACCACTGAGCCACACCAGCTGGACACAAGCAATATTTTAAAAAAATAAATCCAAAGTAATTACATCTTCAACCCAGAGACCACCACTATAAATCCTTAGTTCATACTCTTCGGGGCCTCTCTTTTTTTAAACCTAAAGGAGATGATAAGTAACCTGTTTTTGATCAGCTGGTCTCTAACCCTCCAATTTGATAAATTTCTCATCTCATCGAATATTTTGACCTTAATCAGATTTCTCTAGTTGGCTCCAAAATGTCCTTTATTGCTGGCTTTCTGTAGCCAGCATTTTGTTTCAGAGCATGTGTTGCATCTGGTTGCTTTATGTGCCTTAAGTCTCTTGAATTTAGTCCGGTCCCTTTTTATGATGCCAACCTGTAGTGGAGACCAGCCCAGTTGACCTGCAGAAAGTGGTTCCGCCTTTTGGGTTTTCCTGCTTTCTGGTGATAGCATTCCGCTGGGTCCTCTGTCCCCTGGGTGTCCTGTCAGCTGGAATTTAGGTGACGTGCTACAGGCTCTCCCTTCACGCTCTCCATAAAGCTATGATGTGGTGGTTCCATCTCCCCTTCAGGCAGAGGGGCAGCCAGATGCTCTGAGGGTGCCGAGGCTTGCCTACAGCCCTGGGTGCAGAAACCCCCCCAACACACACCAGACCCCGGGCTTGGTTCTCATTCTCAGCTCTGATCCTGTCTGGGGCACGGTACTGAGCCCAGGCTGTCCTCTCCCTTCCTCTTCCTCGCAGTCCTTATCCAGCAGCCCTCAGGCTCAGCCCCCCAGACCAGCGGAGCTGTCCGATGAGGAAGTGGCCGAGCTCTTTCAGCGCCTGGCGGAAACACAGCAGGAGAAATGGATGCTGGAAGAGAAGGTACTGCCTGTCTGCTTGTTCCTACATGGCTAGGAGGCCGGGACAGGGTGGTGGATGTTTGGCCGGCCCCTCCTCATATGGGAACATGCGCAGTCCAAGGTCTGAGGTGGGTGGGGTCCCCCCCTGCAGGTGAAGCACCTGGAGGTGAGCAGCGCCTCTATGGCCGAGGACCTCTGCAGGAAGAGCGCCATCATTGAGACCTACGTCATGGACAGCCGGATCGGTCAGTGCCCCCTCCCCAGCCCTCGCCACTCATCCAGCCTTCCACCTGCTCCTGCCTTCCCCACGATCCAGTGCCCTGGCTCTGTCCTCTCCCCTTGGAGCCAAGCAAAGTCCTGACAAGACCCCAGCCGGCGGAGGGGAGAGCAGGCTTGGTTCTTCCTCTTCTCTGGGTCTCTGTCATCTCTCCACTCTCCTTTCTCTAGTGTGTCTCTGCCCCTTTTCTCCTTTCTTCTCCGTGTGTCTCTTGCTCTTTTCTCTCCCCCTTCTCTCTTCTTTGTGCCCCATTCCCCCTTCATCTTCTCACACTGTTCTTGTCTATATTGTCCCATCTACACAAATGTCCTTTCTCTGTATGTGTGTCACTTCGGCGTCCTTATCTCTTCCTCGACTTAGTTATCATCTAAGTGATAGCCAGGGCTCACGTGGCTAAGCCTCTGCCCCCTACATGGTATGGTATGGCTTGTCTCCCCTCTCCCCTGCCCCCCCCCCCGCTCTCTGTTTCCTGCTTTTCTGCTCTGGCCATTTGTCCTCTGGCTCTGCTGAGGGGCGGCTCTCAGCCTGGGCCCTTGCAGATGTGTCCGTGGCAGCAGGCCACACCGACCGCAGCGGCCTGGGCAGCGTCCTGAGAGACCTAGTGAAGCCGGGTGACGAGAACCTTCGGGAGATGAACAAGAAGCTACAGAACATGTTGGAGGAGCAGCTCACCAAGAATATGCATCTGCATAAGGCGAGTGGCCTACAGCCTGCCCATCTGTCCACGCAGCCACCCCGTCCCAAGGCCAGTGGTCGGCAAACTCATTAGTCCACAGAGCCAAATATCAACGGTACAACGATTGGAATTTCTTTGGAGAGCCACATTTTTTAAACTTCAACTTCTTCTAATGCCACTTCTTCAACATAGACTCACCCAGGCCGTGGTGTTTTGTGGGAGAGCCACACTCAAGGGGCCAAAGAGCCGCATGTGGCTCACAAGCCGCAGTTTGCTGACCACAGCCCTAGGTCATCTGCCAGTTCTCCCACCCCGCCCATCCACCAACCATTCATCCTCATCTTCCCATCCTCCAGTCAACTTGTTATTGTCAGTTTATTTGTTGACTCTTCCCTCTGTCCTTGCATCCACGCACTCATCCATTTGTGCACACAGTCAATAACTCTCCCAGCAATCCTCCTGCTCTTTGTTCATCTGCTTCCAATTCACCTAATCATCAGCCCCATGTCTTTCCACCCATTTCCTGACTCACTGCTCTCATGCTTGCCTGCTCATCAGCCACTCCTTATCTTAGCTTTTACCCACACACCCAGCAACCTGCCTGCCTACCTGCTATCCTCCATCTGTGCTTTGGATAGTTCCTTTGTCCTATTTGATTGCCATGGATCCCCCATACGTCTAACCTACATGTCCATGTGCCCATCCTACCACCCAAATATTTACTCCATCTCTGGGGAAGTCAAAAGGAATGCAGACCTGGCACCTGCTTCTGAGAAGCAAGCTCATGATTAACTAGAAAGAAGGTGGCCGGAGTGGGAGGGGTCGTATTCTCCAGCACATCATACACAGCAGGCGGTCCATTCCCATAGCTGGACCCCACCTCCAGGGGCTTCCTCACCCTCACACATCCACCTTTCCTGAGCTGGGGTCCCTGGAAATTTCTCCTGTGGCCTTTCTGTCCCAGGCGTTGGTTGATGAGGTAAGGATGACAGCCCAGGCTTCCCCTGCCACCTTCTCTGGTCCCTGACGGCTTGTTTGTTTCTTAGGACATGGAAGTTCTGTCCCAGGAAATTGTGCGGCTCAGCAAGGAGTGTGTGGGGTCCCCTGAGCCAGACCTACCACCAGGAGAATCCGGCTAAAGACCTGCAGGCTGCCTCCGCTCCCTCCCCTCCCCCTCCTCTGAACACTATTCATTTGGGCTAACGTGGGGAAATGGGGGCTGGCACCAAAATCAAATAGGTTGGGACACTGGACATTAAAGGGGTTGGAGGCCTTGTGGCTGGTTGTCAGTGACCCTGTCTTAGGACAGTGGTCCCTGGGGAGTGAGGACCCTGAGGGGACGGGCAGGGATTGCTCATCGTCCTCGGCCCTGGTTCACAGGGGCATTTGCCTTCATCTCTGCATGAGTTCTCCCTCCCAGAGACCAACCGTTTTTTATTTTATTTTTAATTTATGTCTGGAAGCCTGGCTACTCTGCATTTGGGATTGGGGATGTTGGGTGGGGTGTGGTCCATGTCAACATTCTAGCAACATGTGTATGTGGTGTGTGTGTGTGTGTGTGTGTGTGTGTGTGAATGTGTAAAGGTTGTGCAGCCAAAATACCATCTGGCCAGACGGGCCCATCCACTGACTGTCTGCTCTCATTCTTTCCAACCAGTAGGAGGGATGTACTGGGGCGGGGAGGGGAAGTCACACCATCAGAATTGGGGGGGAAGTCTCTGGCCACAACTTGACTCTCCTTCCCCCACCCTCACCCAGCCTGTCTCCAGTTACTGTGGACTAGCCCCTCAAACTGAGTGGAACAGAAATATCTGCAGATACATATGTGAACAGATGTGTATGGCATGCAGGTCTGGATGCATAGACAGATGGGAGGATGGATAAGTCGATGAACTGATGGATAAATAAGTAGAAGGTTGCATGGATTGATGATGGGTAGAATGGGAAGTAACTGGACAGATGGATAAGTAGGTGACTGGGTGAATAAATGGATAAATGGACTGGTAGGTGAATAGGTAGTAGATGGGCAGGGGAGGATGTAAGTGGACCGATGGATAGCTAGGGGAACACCTGGATGGATGAGTGGGCAGATCGATGGACGAGCTACTGAATGAGAAGAGAAGGTAGGTGAATAAATAATGGGGGAGCAGGGGATTACATGTGGATAGTTTTGGGAGTCATTAGGTAGTTGGAGTAAATATACAAATGCGTGGGTGGGCGGGTGGAGAAAGGGACACAGTGCGATGAGCTAAGAAGTGGAGGTACATGGAAAGGCTAACATTGGCCCTGCATCACTGCTCCCCAGCCCACACACCTACTAAAGATGAGGCCTCTATGCCATGCCCTGTGCACCCCCTCTCACATCACTCTACTAATGACACTGTCAGGTTGGGGCCACTCCACCTGACGGCTGAGGAGACAATGCTAGTCGTTTGCTCAAGGACACGGCAGGTCAGCACAGCTGGGGTTGGAACCCTCCTGCCAGCTGCACTTGTACCCAGTGCTCTTGTCACAGCAGCAGAGCCCTCTGAGGGAGGAGGGGTGACCTGAGGCTCCTGGATGTGGACAGATGGACACTCCCCCTCAGAGTGGACCTGCCTGGGGAAGAAGCTGGTATGGGGTGGGACCTCTCCCTTGTCCCCATCTGAACTCTTCCCACCCCCCCCATGACATTCAAAACCAGGAGGATGGTGCTCCGGTCCCAGCAGTCTTGGTTAGAGTTGGCTTTAACCCATGCCCCCCCCCCCCCAGCAGCTTTGGGGGTCTGGCGATCTAGAGAGACGCTCCCCACCAGCCCTCCATCCACACCTTCTCCAGCCTTGGGGGGCAGGGAGGGGACAGCGCTGCATCATTCCCCGTGGCACTCCTCTCTAAGGCCATTAACAGACGCCTCCCCATCGATCGCATCTGCTAAGTGCTGCTGATTCAGACGGGTGGGGGTGGGGTCCCCTAGGGGCAGAGGGGTAGGAGCCGGGCATGGAGAGGGGAGTCCAGGAAGGAGGTGGGGAGAACTGGCAAAGCTCCCTACCACCCCCATTTTCCAGATGACGCGACTGAGGCCCAACCAGCTTTATAGGAGGCGGAGTCTCCCCAGGGTCCCTCTCAGGCGGTCCTAGGGGAGGGGGCTCTGGGAGCCACGAGGCCCCTCCCTGCCTCGCCATCTCCCGGCAAGCTCAGAGGGGCGGGGAGAGAGAGCCAGAGGAGGAGGAGAACTCGGGCAGCTCTGCAGAGGGGGGCCGGAGCTCCGGTGTTTGGTACCCCAGCCCCTCCGTTGTTGCCGATTGCTGCAGTGGGCACACAGGTGAGGTCGGCCCTGTGGGGAGTGGGAGGGGGCCACCGCCAGCGCTGCCCTTGCCCTTCCCTGGTCCAGCTCCCACGCCCTAGCCCATCCTGGGACAGTCCCCTGGACCTTGTCCTTGCAGAGCCGCCTTCCAGGGACCCAGCCCCCTCCCCTGTCTGTGCTGCCTTCTCTCCCAGGCCTGGCTGTGGCTGCTTCTCCTCCTCCTGCAGCCGCTGCTGCTGCCGCCCAGCGCACACCACCAGCCCCTCGGGATGTGGTTTCCCCAGACCAGCCCCCAGGAGTGGGACACAGCCTGATCTTGGCTTCCCTCGCCGGCCTCCTGCCAGGCCCAGCAGCCCCCCTTCCTGGAGACACACCCAACTCCCTCTCAACATCCCACTCCGATTCCCAGCCCGTTTTGAGGGGAACCCCCTTTTTCTCTTAGTCTTTTGCAAGCCTCTGGGTGTGTGTCCAACTTCCTTCCAGTGGAGCGCAGCCCCTTGGGGTTCCCCGGGCCCCTTCCCTGTCCCTGGAACTCCTGAGAGTGGAGCAGGCTTTCCCAGGCCCCCAAGACACCCCTCAGCCTCTGAAAAATAACCTCGCCCTTGCTCTGCCCCGTTAGACACCCCACTCCCTGCTCCAGCCCCACCTCTCCTTCCTTCCCCAAACTCCTGTAGAATGTAGACACCCCCCACCCCCAGGCTATTCTTGGCAGCTCTAGGCACTCCCAGGACACCTCTCAGCCTCTTTACAACCTCCTGGCTCTAGACATCCCGTAGGTGGTGCACCAACCCCTTTCCTAGATCCAAGAAGGGATTCCAACCCCCTTCTCTTTTCCCAGAAGTCTTCAGGGTGTGGACCCCCCTCGTCACCTGTCTCACCACCCCCCCCTAGCCTAGAACTCCCCTCCAGACACCGATCTCAGCCTCTTCAAACCCTTCTGGTCCCATTTCTACCCCCCAGAATGCCCCGACCCCCTGTCCAACGCAGCTAAATAGATCTAGTCCCTTCTTCCGTCAGGACTCCCGAGTGTGGACAGCTCCCGTGTTTCTTGCCCCCACTAGATACCCTGGGATCTCTCAGGCACACGCTGACCCCTCTAGAATCATCTGTCCCTAAACGCTCCCTCAGATCCTTCTCTGACCCTCCAGACGCCCTTTCTGTTCTCCTTCCCATGTCCCCTAGCCCCTTCTCAGTCCCTCGAGTCATCCGTCTGGTCCCTCCCAGGCCCTCTAAATGCCCTCCAGGCCCCTGCCCCTGTGTCTAGTACCTCCTCCACTTTCCTCTCGGCGTCTCTAGACATCCCCAGTTTCCTTGTGTGAGTGGCCCAGGGCCCCTCCGAGCCCCCACCATCCTGGAGACAGCCACCTTCTCCTAAAGGCCAGCCCTCCCCCATCCCCCCCAAGTCTCCGAGGGCCTGGGGCGCGGCAGGATGGCCGCAGGCGTGGCCACGTGGCTGCCCTTCGCGCGGGCGGCTGCGGTGGGCTGGCTGCCCCTGGCCCAGCAGCCCCTACCCCCGGCGCCGGGGGTGAAGGCCTCCCGGGGGGACGAGGTTCTGGTGGTGAACGTGAGCGGACGGCGCTTCGAGACGTGGAAGAACACGCTGGACCGGTACCCGGACACCCTGCTGGGCAGCTCGGAGAAGGAGTTCTTCTACGATGCCGACTCGGGCGAGTACTTCTTCGATCGCGACCCCGACATGTTCCGCCATGTGCTCAACTTCTACCGCACCGGCCGCCTGCACTGCCCGCGCCAGGAGTGCATCCAGGCCTTCGACGAGGAGCTGGCCTTCTACGGCCTGGTGCCCGAGCTGGTGGGCGACTGCTGCCTGGAGGAGTACCGCGATCGCAAGAAGGAGAACGCCGAGCGCCTGGCGGAGGACGAGGAGGCCGAGCAGGCCGCCGAGGGGCCGGCCCTGCGCGCGGGCAGCTCCCTGCGCCAGCGGCTCTGGCGGGCCTTCGAGAACCCGCACACCAGCACGGCGGCCCTGGTGTTCTACTACGTGACGGGCTTCTTCATCGCCGTGTCGGTGATCGCCAACGTGGTGGAGACCATCCCGTGCCGCAGCCTGGCGCGACGGCCCCCCGGGGAGCAGCCGTGCGGGGACCGCTTCCCCACGGCCTTCTTCTGCATGGACACGGCCTGCGTGCTCATCTTCACCGGGGAGTACCTGCTGCGGCTCTTCGCCGCCCCCAGCCGCTGCCGCTTCCTGCGCAGCGTCATGAGCCTCATCGACGTGGTGGCCATCTTGCCCTACTACATCGGCCTCTTCGTGCCCAAGAACGAGGACGTGTCCGGCGCCTTCGTCACCCTCCGCGTGTTCCGCGTCTTCCGCATCTTCAAGTTCTCGAGGCACTCGCAGGGCCTGCGGATTCTGGGCTACACGCTCAAGAGCTGCGCCTCCGAGCTGGGCTTCCTCCTCTTCTCCCTCACCATGGCCATCATCATCTTCGCCACCGTCATGTTCTACGCCGAGAAGGGCACAAAGAAGACCAACTTCACTAGCATCCCCGCGGCCTTCTGGTATACCATTGTCACCATGACCACGCTGGGGTGAGTGCAGACCGGAGCTGGGAGCTGCCCCGTCCATTACACTCACCTTTTCTGTAACAGGAGGTGAGGGGCAGGAGCTGTTTGGGCTTCAGTTGGCGCATCTGTAAAAACGGAGGGAGTTGGACGGATCTCCACATCCCACCCAGCTTTGACAATGACTTGGGTTCAAGGATTGTCTTAGCTGTCCCCTTCCTGTTGGCCTTATTTCTCTGAGCTTGTTTCCCCTCTGTGACAAGAGAAGATGATCCCTTTTGAGGGGCTTTAGTGGCATCGTGGTTGTGAAAGTTTCTGGTACAGGATCAATAGGTATGGTTTTGTATCATCCCCTTTTCCATCTTTTTTTTTAATTAAAAATATATATTATTGATTTCAGAGAGGAAGAGGGAGAGAAACAGAAACATCAATGATGAGAGAGAATCATCGATCAATCGGCTGCCTCCTGCATGCCCCCCACTGGGGAGATCAAGCCTGCAACCCAGGTATGTGGAATCGAACCTGGGACCCCTCGGTCTGCAGGCTGATGCTCTCTCCACTGAGCCAAACGGGCCAGGGCCCCCTTTTCCATCTTGAGGACCCCCGACTCCCAACCCTCTACAAGCACAGTGTAGGGCACTACCTCTGTGGCTCTCCAGAATAAGATACTTTCAGTAGCATCTTTTTTTCCTGACAATCCTTGAAAGAAAATAGTTGGGATAAAAACATCAAACGGAAGCACCAAACTCACGTTGTTCTTGAGGACACTGCCTAGGGCACAGACTGAGCCTGTGCTAATTTCTGTCACCGGGATTAGGCACACTCAGTATCTGTTAAAGGGATGGATTGAGCTTGCTCGGGGATTTACTAGAGGCATAGAAAAGTTGATTCGAGGTTTCTAAAGTTTAGACATTAATTCTGGTTGGAAGTTCAGGATTAGGTCAATAAATACTGAGCCTTGAAAATAGATTGGAACTGAGTATTTTGATGCCTTTTACCCTATTTAGTCTTTTGGGGTTTTTGTTGTTGTTGTTGTTGTTTTTACCCTATTTAGTCTTCACAACAACTGTGGGTGGGTGGGCAGCTGCCCATGTCTCCTTGTTGGGGATACAGTCTGAGTTGACACATCACAGCGCCAGACATGCCCAAGTTGCAGAGACTTGTAAATAAGTCAAAATAAACAAATGAGTCAAAATAAAGACATAAGGCAGAGCCACGAGGGGTGGGGCACAGCTCGAGCAAAGGCTGAGAGGCTTAAGACTGCAGAGGCTGCGCTTTTGTGGAGGGAGTGTGATTGGGCCTGTGGTCAGGACAAAGGATGCTGTGTGGTCTTGAGCAAGTCAGCTGTGGAACCTCCTTGACTTTGGTTTGAGACAAGGTGGTAAGGTTGGCTCTGGTCCATCTCCATGGGTAGGGGATGGCATGGAGAAACACGTGGGGACAGTTTTGGGGTTTCCCTGGGGGGACAGGAAGGGGTCCTACCTAGAGAAGGAAAGACAGATTTAAGCAGGGATTAGGAGCCCTTCAGCTGGCCAGTAGTGGTGGAACTCTCTCTCTCCATGAGGCCACGTTTACTGCCTGTAACTTCCTCTCTCTGCCCCATGCTGGGTATTAATAGATTTCCAGCTGAGTCAGATGCCTGCACAGCTCGCATGGGGGCAGCAGATGGCAGGGGCTGAGGGCCCAGTCTCATTTGACCCCCACTGGTGACCAGAAATGTCATCTCTCACATTGTGCAGTGAGAAACTGAGGCTCCCAGAGTTTTGAGTGCCTGGCCAGGGTTACAGAATAAGTTGGATTGAATGGGTGGCAGTGGGGGACTGAGGGGTGGGCGGGCACTTTTCTTGACCTTTCCTTACCTCCTCTGGCCCCAGATACGGAGACATGGTGCCCAGCACCATTGCTGGCAAGATTTTCGGATCCATCTGCTCACTCAGTGGTGTCCTGGTCATCGCTCTGCCTGTGCCAGTCATTGTTTCTAACTTCAGCCGCATCTACCACCAGAACCAGCGCGCTGATAAGCGCCGAGCACAGCAGGTCGATGCCCCTCCCCTCTCCTATTCCCCCCACCCCAAGCCAGTCCATCACCTCTTGTGTATACCCACCTGACTCTTTCTCTCCTCTCTGTAGAAGGTGCGCTTAGCAAGGATCCGGTTGGCAAAGAGTGGGACCACCAACGCCTTCCTGCAGTACAAGCAGAACAGGGGCCTTGAGGTGGGTAGGTCCCAGATTGGGGCTGGCCATGAGCGGTGATGGGAGGAGGAAGGTGCTGACCTCACGTGTCTGCTCCATCTGCTCCAGGACAGCGGCAGTGGGGAGGACCAGGCCCTGTGTGTCAGGAACCGGTCTGCTTTTGAGAAACAACACCACCACTTGCTGCACTGTCTGGAGAAGACAACGGTGAGGCCTAAGGGAGGAAGCGGATCTCTCTGCCACCACGCCAGCTCCCCCCTGTGGACTTGGCGGCTCACTACTAATTGTGGAAATCACGCAGGGCTTCCTAGAAGAGGCCTGATAGAGCTGAGCCTTGAAGGGTGGGCAAGGGAAGGAAAGAGGGAGCAACTTCCAGATAGGAAGGCAGGGAGTAAGCAAAGGCCCGGTGGTGGCGGCAGCTCTCACGTGGCTCTTTGTGACCGTGCCTCCCTTCTTCCCGCAGTGCCACGAGTTCACAGATGAGCTGACCTTCAATGAGGCCCTGGGTGCTGTCTCGCTGGGTGGCCGCACCAGCCGCAGCACCTCTGTGTCCTCCCAGCCGGTGGGGCCTGGCAACCTGCTATCCTCTTGCTGCCCCCGCAGGGCCAAGCGCCGTGCCTTGCGCCTTGCCAACTCCACTGCCTCGGTCAGCCGTGCCAGCATGCAGGAGCTGGACACGCTGCGGAGGAGCCCCGTCCCTCAGAGGTAAGAAACCCCCACCCCCTGGCCATGCCTGAGGAAGCTCAGAGCTTAGACCAGAGGGTCTGAGATATCATGACTTCAGGCCTAGCAAGTCAAGCTCAAACCCAAACTCCTCCATGCTGGGAGCTTGGGCTTGTCTTGTCTGGAACTCCTGGTTCTTCATTCATCCTCTTGTCATTTATTGAGCACCTACTATATGCCAGGCAGAGCTCTAGGCACTTTGGAGTTCACTTCGGGCAGAAATCCCTGACCTTCTGGAACTTATATCCTAGTGGGATGTGACCGTTAATAAACAAATACACAGATGATGCAGTGTGTTAAGTGCCAAGGAGAAAGATAAATCAGGGATTTATTTCAGGGGGACAGAGAGAGTAGAACAGGGTATGACGTAGTTTTAACTGTGTGGTTAGGGAAAGCTTTGCTGAGGTGATATCTGAGCCAAGACCTGAAGGAGGTGAAGGGGTGAGTCATGTGATATCTAGAGGAAGAACTTTTCAGGCAGAGGACACAAACCCCGAGGCAGGACTAGGTCTGTGCGTCCCTAATAAGCTACGTGTGGAGAGTGGAGTGAGGGAGGGAAGAGAGTGGTGGGAGATAACATCAGAAAGGAACAGGGACAAGATCACGTAGCTCTTTTACTGTACACTATTATGAGGACTTAGGATTGTAAGGAGTCTATCAGAATAGGTATTTTGTGTCTGTGCACCCATTGTGTTCCTATTAGCAATTAGTTCCTAAGTACTATTCTGAGCACTCTGTATCATTTATTATCTCAATTACAAGAACTCTGTGAGGTAGGAATACAGCAGGTTCTTGAATGACATCATTTTGTTCAATATCATTTTATTATTATTTTTTTTGTTCCTTATAAATTACCATTTACATTCAGTATTCTTTGTATTAGTTTTAGGTATACAGCATAGTGGTTAGACCATCATATTTTATAAAGTGTTCCCACCAATATTTCCAGTACCCACCTGGCCCCATACATGATTAGAATATTATTGACTGTATTCCCTATGCTGTACGTTCATCCCCATGACTATTTTGTAACTTCCAATCTGTACTTCTCAATCCCTTCATCTCTTTCACCCAGTCCCCCACCCGCTTCCCTCGGGCAACCACCAGTCTGTTCTCTGTATCTCTGAGTCCATTTCAGTTTTGTTTGTTCACCTATGTTATTCTTCAGATTCCACATAGAAGTGAAATCATATGGTATTTGTCTTTTTCGTTGTTGTTATTAATACTCACCTGAGGATATTTTTCCATTGATTTTTAGAGAGTGGAAGGGAGGGGGGAGACAGAGAGAGACATCAATTAGTTGCCTCCCCCATGTGCCCAGCGAGGGCCAGGATAGAGCCTGCAACCTAGGTATGTGCCCTTGACCAGAATCAAATCCTGGACCCTTCAGTCCATGGGCTGACTATCCACTGAGCAAAACCAGCTAGGGCTGGTATGTCTGTCTCTGTCTGACTTATTTTACTTAGCATAATGCCCTCTAGGTCAGTGGTTCTCAACCATTTTAATGCCGACGACCCTATAATACAGTTCCTCATGTTGTGGTGATCCCCAATCATAAAATTATTTTCGTTGCTACTTCATGACTGTCATTTTGCTACTGTTATGAATCGGGACCCACAGGTTGAGAACTGCTAGCAGGGTCGCCTAAGACCATCAGAAAACATAGATATTTACATTACAATTCATAACAGTAGCAAAAGGACAGTTATGAAGTAGCAACGAAAATTATTTTATGGCTGGGGATCACCACAACATGAGGAACTGTATTAAAGGGTTATGGCATTAAAATGGTTGAGAACCACTGCTCTAGGTCCATCCATGCTGTCACAGATGGTAAGATTTCATCCTTTTTTGTGACAGAGTAATATTCCCAATACCATTTTGTTATAACATTGGTGAAATGACTAAAAACTTGTTTTTATTAATTAGCCTGTGATAAAATTTGGGTGTACATCATTTCACTTCAAGTCACAGAACTCATTAACGATGTTAAGTTTGGACTTACTGTATGATTATTCCCATGTTTCACATGAGAGAAAAGAGAGGTTTAGAGTAGTAAAATTGGGATCGGGATTCGAACCGAGGACTGCCTACCTTCAGAGCCCTCACAGTGATTAGGGGGTGCAGGGGGACCCTTTAGCACAGTGCCAGGGATCCAGTAGATGCTCAATAAATGTCCTGATTGCTGTAGCCAGTATTAAGATGACTTTTTAAAGAACCTTCTATCTTCCCACCCTTATCCACAGCCGCTCAAGCCTCAATGCCAAGCTCCATGACAACCTTGACCTGAACTGCGACAGCCGGGACTTTGTGGCTGCCATCATCAGTATCCCTACCCCTCCTGCCAACACCCCAGATGAGAGCCGACCGTCCTCCCCTGGTGGTGGGGGCGGGGCCAGCAGCACCCTCAGGAACTCTAGCCTGGGTACCCCTTGCCTCCTCCCTGAGACTGTGAAGATCTCTTCCCTGTGAGGGTTGGGCCCAACCATCCAGAGGGCCCTCTTGATTCTAGGGGACTCCTTTCCAAAGCCATATTTTTGGGGAGACAGATAAGGGCAGGCCTGGGGAACCCCTTCTGCCCCTCTCCCCCATTGAGAACTATGCAATGGAGTTTCCTGGAATGGCCTATGTTGTGGGGATGTAGCCAGGGAATGGGACACCTCCCCCACCCCAGACAGATTTCCTGGTGGTAGGTGAGTGGCTAGGCTTCCTCAGGCTCCAGCACACTGGGACCGGACCCTCCCCCAGAGCTGGCCTCCTGCATGCTCCTCCCCTTGGGCCCTCAGGCTCCCACCTGACATCTGAGCTCAAGCCTGAGAAGACGTGACACTTCCCCTTCTCTCTATCAGGGGGTGTGGAGGTTTGGGGATTCCGGGAAGAGAGGTCCCCACCCTCCACCAGGCCCAACAACACCTAAATTCCAAAGCTTGGAATGCAACCACAAAGCTTCAAGGGCTGTGGCCTCAGCAGTGACTTTCCACCCCCAGGCCTAGCCTCAGGGGTCAGGCTGCCTCTCCCAACACGCTCAGATAGCACAAACACTACCCCCTCCTCTGGCTGCTGGGAATGGGTCGTGGCCACCTCCATCCTCCTCCGCTGGGCCCCCAGCAAACTCTAGCAATAGCAGCTGCTGCTGTGACATTATGCAAAGCCTCTGCCCAGTTTGCTGCATTTACATCTGCCCTAATCAGAGGGGCCACCTCTAATACTCCTCCTCCTCTCCCCTCCGGTCTGCTTCTTTCCTGGGTTGGGCCGGAGTCTGGACCGGCTGAGATAAGCACCTGGCAACCAACCAGGGTTGGGCTGGGTTTGGAGATCAGGAGCTGATGCCTGGTACTTGGGCAGGAATCCAGAAGCAACCGGAGCTGAGGCCGGGGTTGTTCTTGAATCCTGGGAGTTGGAGGCAGAAGGGACTTCTCTGCTCCTCCCCACAATACCTTTTCGCGTATTCCTCTCTCTTCTCCCTCTCGGGTCACCTTCCGGAACCCTGTTGTTTGCTCTCAGGCTGATTATCTGGCATTATCTCAGGTTCCCTGTCCCCAGCGCTGTCCCCGCAGAGCTGGTGGCTGAATAAGATGTAGTTTTCCTCCGTCAATAAAACCTGAGAGGAGAGACGAGGATGAACACCTCCTGGTTCCGTGGCTTTGGGGCTGGAGAGGGCTGGGGAGATCAAAGTCCTCTGATTTAAATTCCTTCCCACCAAGAGAAGGGCCGGTGTGGGTGAAGGTATGGGAGGTAGATGGTTGGTGACGGGTTCTAGAAGATGGGGATTTAGGAGAAATGAAAAAGCAGGGCTTGAAGAGTTGACTCGCCAGCCAGCGAGGCAGAGTAGGAGGTCCTGAGACACGCGGACATCGTCTGCTGCAGCTTCCTCACTCACAGATGGGGAAACTGAGACCCAGAGCAGCACATACTTGGTTTGGGGGAGACTTAAACCCCGGTTTCCTGACAGAAAGTGGCTCTGAATTGAACCCTGATGAAAAGCATCGCTCAGTGTGGCAACCCCCGTTCCTTGTGGATGGCCCTTCATTTTCTCCTCTGAGCTACTGGGTAGAGTAGGCTAGCGTGTGACTGAGCTCTGTGGAGTACTGAGAAGACAGACCTTGGATTCAGGTCAACCTGAATTCCAATCCCTGGGAAAGAGAACGACTTACCTTTTCTTACCTCAGGCTGCTAATCTGTGAAATAGAGATAATCCTTTCTTCTGTTCACCAAATATTTATTCACTGGATATCATCTTCTAGCCCTATGGGTACGGAGATGGGCAAAGTAGACATCATTTCCGTTCTACAGAGGTGAACACGGAAGGCAAATGAGCAATTACAGTATAGTGCAGGAGAACCAAGATCGATGGATTACAGAAGCATGTGGAGAATCTAACCTGGCTGGCACAGGAAGAACGAGGGCAGTTAGCCAGGTGAGAGGCAAAAGGGTAAAGATGTTTCGGGCAGAGGAAACAGCGTGTGCAAAGGCCTAGAGGTTAGAGAGCGAGCTTGGGGGTCTTTGGGGAACTCAAATTAGTTGAGTAGAGCTGGGAAAGAGAGTGTGAGGCTACGATGAGGGTGAGAATGTAGAGGTGAGTCAGATCACAAAAGGCCTTTGACGCTAGGATACAGACTTTGGACTTCATCCTAAGGATAATGGGGACCTCTAAAGGCTTACCAACAGAAAGTCATCATGCGGTTCGTGCTTCAGAATGATCATTCTGGTTGTGGAGAGTGGGTTCGAGAGAAACACCCCTGAAGGGAGAAAGAGCAGTGAGAAGGAGGCTTTTGGTCAACACAACAGGCCCAGTAAACGTGAGTCCTCTCCCATGAAGTGGTGCCCTGGCGGGTAGTGGCAGTAAGAGTTGGAGAGGTAGAATTGGCAGGGCTTGGGATTGACCGGCATCTGGGAGTTGGGGAAGTGGCAAGGTTGACTCATAGGTTTCTGGTTTGGGCAAAGGCTGGGGTGCCATGCACTGTCAAAGGTAACATCCAAGCTGTTAGCACCCAGTTCCAGGCACACAGTAAGTGCTTGGTGATGCCTAGCTACCCTTGTGTAAGTTCCGTTTTAGATGTGTGGTGCTAGTCAAATATCCAGTAGGGAGTGGGATATATGGGTCGAGTGACATGGTCATGAAAAGACTCAATGTGATAATGTACATAGGCGCAGTGGCTCTGAACACAATAGGTCCAATAAACTTGAATCCTCTCCCATTAAGTGTCATGAAAAAAAAAACATACAATAGTACATCTATTACTGACACCCTTCAGGGAAGACTTCAACTAGGGTTGGCTCTGAAGGAAGTTTACATGGCACTCTGAAGAGCTTTTTGATGGTCTCTCTTTCAGTCAATCTACTGTATGACTTGGCCTCTAAGACACAGCAAGCCCCCACCTCTCACAGCAGCTTCTTGGTTTATGAGCTCAATGGAATCCCACAACTCCCCGAGGTAGTCTGGGCAGGCTTTATCATTCCCATTTTACACACGGGTAAGCTCAAATTTGAGACACAGCGACTTGCTCAGGGTCCTACAGTTGGTAATGGGCCATCCATGTCTGGAACTGAGGTCTTCCTGACTCCAAAGCCTGGGACCCTTGCCTGCGCACCATCATGCTAATTTATTGAGCACTTACTAAGTGCCAGGAACACTATCAGACCCTTTGTGAGTCTGGCCCTTAAACTGGAAACATCATTGCCATTTTATAGAGAAGTAAATGTTGAGTTTGAGTGGATGTTAAATGACTGGCCAGGGATCACACACACAAGAGGAGAAGGGCTAGATTAGCTTGTTAACTCTTTGGCTACTCAGCAGAGATTTTCCTAACCCCAGCGTGAGAGACGCTGGCTAGACAGAGATGAATACATCCAGTGTAGCTCAAACCAGGTAAACAGTTTCCGAAACAAGTAAATAAAAGGCGGGGATGCGGCGCCTGCGCACCAGCCGCAGGGGCGGGGAGGTCAACGCGGGGGCGAACGTGAGGTAGTGCCAAAGGGGGCGCGTCCGCTTCCCAAACACCCACAGTCCCCACGGTGCGCGGCCGACCCCTGGTTGGCTCGTCGGCTCGAGTGACAGCGCCTCTCAAGCAATCATCGCAGTCCTCGGCCTTTTACAGCGCGAAGCCCCGCCCGCCGGTCCGGGGGCGTGGCTTTACCGGTGGGCGGGACCGGAACTGACGCTACGCGGGACTGCTATGCTCCGGGAGTGTTGATATTTTCCTGTCAGTCCCACTGACAGCGGCCAAGTTGGAAGCCCGGAAGGGAGGCGCTTTTTAAAACTCGTGCACGGGGCCAGGTCAAGCCGTCCTGCCCGTCGCCGCACCGCCGCCCGCCAGCCAGAGCCTCAGGGAAAGAAGTCAAGAGCGGGACGGCGCGGCCAGAAGAAAGGCCGAGAACCGGGGCGCCGACTTAGACTGAAATCCGAGCCGGAGGGCACGGGAGGGCGATCGCTCACCTCTGATTGGCCCTGGGGCGTCAGCGAGGACCCACGCAGCCACTTCGATAGGTCGGTGCCCGCGATTGTTGTGGCGGCGGCGAGGATTTTGCCCACGTACTTCCGAGCCGGAGGCGGGGCCGTGCCGCGGCGCGCTTGCGCGGCGCCCCTGGACCCCACCCGGTAGTTCAAGAACCTGCGAGGGGGCGGGGCGAAGAGGTGCTTGTTTTGGTTGAGTTTCCCTTGACCGGGAAGGCCGGAAAGAACGTAACAATCAACTTGCCGAACTCTGAGAGTGGGCGACGACACTCGCCGCGCTGCCTGCACCTTCGACTCCACATCCGGGCTCTTCCCGTCGCGTGACCTGCGCGTCGCCTCCGGCTCTCGAACCCGGTGCCTCGATCCTCTTTATCCAGGCCCGCCGATCCCGTGGTGCTCCGCGCACCACTTTAGCCCCTCATCCGGGTTCTGTCCCGGCGTGCCGCGCGCCGGGTTTGCTGGGGGGTACTCGGCGGGGCCGCCATGACTATTCTCCCCAAAAAGAAGCCGCCGCCTCCCGACGCCGACCCCACCAACGAGTCGCCGCCGCCCGGGCCGCTGCCCCCCGCGCCGCGCCGCGGCGGGGGGGTGGGCGTGGGCGGTGGCGGCTCGGGCGTGGGCGGCAGCGACCGCGACCGTGAGTCGGGTGTCGTGGGGGCCCGGCAGCGGGCCTCGCCGCCGCCCCAGGGCCAGCTGCAGGGGCCGCCGGGCGCACTTCACCGCTGGGCGCTGGCCGTGCCGCCGGGCGCCGTGCCGGGTCCCCGGCCCCAGCAGGGCTCTCCGCCGCCGTGCGGGGGCCCGGGCGGTCCCGGCGGCGGTCCCGGCGACGCGCACGGTGCCGCGGCGGCAGGTGTAGGCGCGGCTGGCGTGGTGGTGGGCGTGGGCGGCTCGGTGGGCGTGGGCAACTGCTGCTCCGGGCCCGGCCACAGCAAGCGGCGGCGCCAGGCCCCCGGGGTCGGGCCGGTCGGCGGGGCCAGTCCGGAGCGCGAGGACGTCGGCGCAGGTTACAACAGCGAGGATGAGTACGAAGCGGCCGCAGCGCGCATCGAGGCCATGGACCCTGCCACTGTTGAGCAGGTATGGGCTGGACATGACAGGTGAGCGGGTGCGGTGGCTGGTGGCATCCCCGGGCTGAGTCGGGACCCAGGGCGCTCGCACTTCACCTCCCCGAGCCTGTCACTGCTTTCTCTGGTCGTAGGGGCAGGAGGCACCCTGTTTACCTGCCCGCTTTCCCCCAAGGACTTGAGGTTAGAGGCCCGAGGTAAGGCGAAGGGCTTCAAGATGGTGTTCGTGGTCTCTTCTGGGCGCTGGGGCCTCATCTGGAGGGGCCTGGAGACACGGGCAGAGTGAAATGCCTCCTGGGAGGGAGTCTCAGGACCCTCCAGGGACCTTGGTGTGTGTTCGGTGGCTTGAGATGTGTTTTTCATTGAGACACGGCTAAGGGTGAGACCTCAGCAATGTTTGAGTGATCCCCAAGTACCCAAACCCTCTCAGGGCTGTGAGACACTTTGAATAGGTCTCTAGGACAACCCCTCCTTCCTTCTCGGGGGGGACACAGCACAGGACCCGCAGCAGTGGGGTCTGACACTTCCTCAGGGGTCTTACGCCCGCCTGCAATGGGCCTGAGACACACATAGGCGTCCCCTTTAGGGAGAGGGATCTTCTGAGCTTGCCTCCAGGGCTATGACTTTTCTGGGGGAGAGAAGGTCCCCTTCCCCTTAGGGACAAGAGCCAAATCCCATAGCCAGGGGCCAGAAACTCGACTGGGGGACAGGAGACTCATTCTCTTCATTGACTGGGTCTGTGCTTCCTCCTGGTAGTCTGACACCTCCTGGAGCAAAGGACCCTGAACCTCTCTACAGGAGCTCAAACTTCCTCTAAGGCACATGTGTCAAACACAAGGCCCGAGGGCCAAATCTGTCCCGCCAGGCCTTGCAATGTGGCCCGCACTGCGCTGTCATCACTGCACTCCGCTGCGTTTCCATCACAATGACAGTTTATGACTGTTCAGTAAACCATTCGGCCCGAGATTTAGGCTGGATTTTAGATTTTGGCCCCTTCTCTGATTGAGTTCGACACCCCTACTAAGGGATAGGCCTGGGGCTTGCTTCTAGAAAATGAGACACTGTTTTGGATACAGGAGCCTAAGAGTCCCCCTGCTTAAGGAGTTAGGCTTTCAGAGACTGGGGGTGAGGCCTCTTCAGATATCACCCCTCAGAGATCCTAAGTGAACTCTTTAGGGGTCCTTTCTTCTCAGGGCCTGGTGTCTGAGTGTTTTTCTTGGGGGGCCTGAGCCCCATCTATGGGCTCCTTCCTCCCAGTTATGAAGGACTGAAACACATCTTGGGGATGTAATAGCTCCCTCCCCCCTGTAACAGAGACCTAAGTCCCCTTCGACCCCCCAAGTGTCAGGGATGCTAAGATTTCTGCCCTGGGAGCTCAATCCCGAGATCTAGGCAGCACGGAGTCCCCAGGATGGAGTCTGAGGCCTTCCCACAGACCTGAGCCTGCCTTCAGGGGCCTGAGACCCGCTGTGCCAAGGACACTTGAGCTTTCCCTCAAGGGCAGGCCCTTAACTTACCCCAGTACCTGCTGTGTCTCTACAGATGAGATCTGAGCTCAGGACTAGAACCTGCCACCAGAATTAGTTCCCGAGACCCTCCCCTCGGGGCATAGATAGGTACCGAGCTCCTGGGGAAGGTGGTCCTGGGTCTTCCCTGCCCCTCCCCAAGAATTTGAACTTGCCCGCACGTACGTGAGACACCTCCCCCGCCTTAGGACCTGAGATCTGGGCCTACCTGATAGCATTGACTATTACCTCACAAACCTGAGTCATGGCAGCCTTTAGGGCCATGAGATTTCCTGTCTTGGGGACTTGAGCCTAAGACCACCCTCCACTTGGGAACTAAGTCCCGAGGACTGCCCTCTCCCCTTGGGGACATAGGTGTGGTGGGATTCTGGGGGAAAGAACCCGAGCCTCCTCCCAGGGGCCTAAGCTTCCCCTTAGGGACCAGAGCGCCTTCACTTCAGGGAGTGGTCGGAGCCCTATCCACCATGGGTGTGCATCCTCCCTCAGCCAGGCAGTCTCTTATCACCTTGGGTCCTCCCCTTGTGGCCTCAGGCTTCCCCCAGTGCTCGGAAATACCTAGTGCTCTTAGCTTCCGGCCGGGAAGGCCTCCTGACTTTCTCTCGGATGTCAGTGACTGGGGACAGGGGACTGAGGCCTCCCCTCCAGGACTGGCAGAGATTCCGAGATTCAGCCTGACCCAGCTCTGCTTGTTTCTCATCTCCAGGATCAGGGAAACCTTCTGAGCTTCTTGAATTGCTTCCAACACGTTTCTTTCTTCCCAGAGATGGGAAAGAGGTCTGGGACATCCCCACCCCATGAACTTCTTCACTCCTATCCCTGTCCCTCTTGGCTCACATAAATCTTTCTGTGCTTCCCAGGGGCCCGGGCCTCGTGGGGTCCCCTTCCCACCCTTACTCCAAGCAGGTGGAGTCATCTTTGCAGCCACTGAGTCAGGATCAAGAGTTGTTTGTTTTGTTTGTTTTTAAAATATATTTTATTGATTTTTCACAGAGAGGAAGAGAGAGAGAGAGTTAGAAACATCGATGAGAGAGAATCATCGATCAGCTGCCTCTTGCACACCCCCTACTGGGGATGTGCCCACAACCAAGGTACATGCCCTTGCCTGGAATCGAACCCGGGACCTTTCAGTCCGCAGGCCGACGCTCTATCCACTGAGCCAAACCGGTCCCGGCAAGAGTTTCTTCTTCTCTCCCTGCTTTGGAGTCCTGTCTGTCTTTCCTCCTTCACAGGATAGGGAGAGATCCATTCCTGGTCCCAAGAACAGAGAGGAAGAATGTCCCATGTTGCCATGGTGACTAGGATGACACCCCCTTACACCCCCTTTGCATCTCGCAGGCTGGGCGTTCCTCTGTTGCACTTGTCCCCATAAGAACTTGGGAGTGGAGCTCTGTGGTTGCAGGATATCTTCCCTTCCCGACTGCAGAGGGGCGGCTCCCCGGCTCACACCGCCTGGGGTAAAAGGAAGATGCTTCTCCCTTTCCCTCGGGGAGACTGTCTTCCAGCTGCCCCAGGCTTGGTCCTGAAATGTCACTGGGGCATTCGTAGCCTGGAGGCCAGTTAGAGCCCTCGGAAAGGGGGGTTGTGGAGAGGGAGCTCAGGTGGTGAATCGTCTTTATTTGGCTCCTCGGACTTCCTGTTGGTCTCGCTGCCGGGACTGTACCTCTGTCGCCTTCAGGCACCCCTTAGGCAACTTAGGGTCAGGGGGTTCCTTTCCCAGGCGTGGCCGCCTTCCTGACAGTCTGCTGTGTGAAAAGAATGGCTTCGGAGTGTTCTGAGGACGGGCATGCACACCAGGTGGTGGGAGAGGCTGGGCCGGCAGGACAGGCAGGGAGGGCGCCTGGGGCTCATGCAGGCGCTGCTGGGCTCTGTTCTCTGAGCCGCTCTCCCGTTGGCCAGGTAAGGAGCTGGGGGGTGTCATTTAGGTTTAGGATTTTAGAGAGCTCACCCCAAAGCCCTCTGGACCCGGAGGTGACAGAAAACGGTGGGTTTCTCCCTGTGTTCCCTCCAACCATCCGAGGTTGGTGGGCAGGACAAGCAGCCTGTTTGGCGTGAGGCTCAGGGTTCGGTGTTTTGGTCACCTGTGCTGTGGTGAATGCACTCGGGGTGGCCTGTCAGGGGAGGGGGCCTGTTGGGTGAGGAGGAGGTAAGGCTGTGTGGGGGAAGAATTGGGCTTTTTGAACTGGGTAGGCCCAGGGTCTTCCGCATAGCTGCTTGGCAGCTTTGGGCAAATTCTCAGCTGCTGCTGCCTTTTTTTTTTTTTTTTTTTTTTTTTTTGCAAAAGTCCATCCATGCCCAGTGATTGTGTGTGAATACCTGGCTGACTCACTGCAGACCTTGGCTGATGCTTCTCTTGCAGTTTCCCTGGGATCGCTTAGTTTCCTCCTAGGAGCCTCTGACTCCTCTCGTGGGGAGGCAGAGTGGGATAGCAGAAAGCGCTCCCTGTCTGGGTTCGAGTCCTGTATTTATTTATTTATTTTTTGGACTCCATGTTCTGAAGCTAGTGGTAATGTCTTCTTTAATTCCCTGTTTCCTACTCCCCTGACCCAGTGGTCGGCAAACTCAGTCAACAGAGCGGCAAAACCGCGGTTCACGAGCCACAGTTTGCCGACCACTGCCCTAACCCACTGCGAAAGTTTTGAGTGGAGCCTCGTAGCTTTTGGTGGGGGTATGCTACGAAATTTCAGGCAATGTTCCACTTCTCCCTGGCCTATAGGTTCTTGGGTCGTTGTTGTTGTTGTTACTTTTTACAGCTTTACTGAGACACAATTCACATACCATGCAATTCATGAATTGAAAGTGGTTGTTAGTCTACTCAGAGTTGTGCATCCATAAGTATGATCAATCACGTTTAGGATAGTTTCATCACCTCAAAACGAAGCCCGTAGTCATCCTCATCATCTCCCAGTCCCCTCACATGCTCCCAGCCCCTGGGCACCCACCATTAATCTGCTTTTTTTGTAAATATGTGCTCATTAATTTTTAGAGAGAGGAAGGGAGACAGACAGAAACATCAATAACAAACATCTACATTGGCTGCCTCTCGCGCGCCCCCTGCTGGGGATTGAGCGCCAACCGGGCCGGGCCCTGACTGGGAAATTGACCCAGTGGACCTCCCCTCGGGGTGCATAGATTGATGCTCACTCACTCACCACCCTGGCCTGGCAACCAGTAATCTCCTTTTTGCCTGGATTGATTTGTCTCTTCGGGATGGTTCATAGAAATGGCATCATATCATGTGCTGTCCTTCGTGACTGCTCCTTTCACTCAGTATAGCTCATCCGTGTTGTAACACGGAGCAGTGCTTCATGTCTTTTTGTTGCATAATGACAGCATCTTCGTTTTTTTAAATCCCTTCCCCTGCCCCCAGTGGCTGGCATCAGATTTAGGGCCTGGCTCTTCCCTATCCCCCTGCCCGAGAGCTTGTGTTGGTCCCTAGAGAGCAGTGCATCTGTCGGTGTTGCTCGCTGGGTGGGTTGTTTGTGTTTTG